CAAAAGGGGTGCCGCGGCTTCCCCCCGCCTGTCCCACACCTCTGCTGTGGCCAGCTAAGGGCACAGGGCTCCTTGCCACAGGACCCTTGGGACAGCTGACAGCCAGTCATCCTGAGGGCACCAGCAGCCTCTCCTGTCTCCTCTCCTACAGCTTTATTCCCAACAGCTCAGGGGTAACAGCCCCCAAAAGATCTGGGCTGTGCCCCTGCCCTGGAGCCCAGCCCTCCAGCCTGTGTGTCCTCCCCTCTGAGCCAGAGACTGTGCCTGGACAGCAAGACAGAGGTACGGACTTGGTGATCCCTCTGAGACACTCGTCTCTGGGTCCTGAAGGAGGGTGACAGGGAGGTGACCTCCCCTTCCTTGTGGAGCAGCATGAGAAGTGGTGGAGCCAGCTAACAGTGGAGAAGAGGCGCAAACGAAGCACCCACCCCCAGGTCCTTCTGCTCTCCACAGCAATGAGTGAAGGGTAACTTGGTGCAGCCTCATGACTGCTCTGAGTTACACCAGGGACCAAGTATGCATCAGCTGGGAAGAAGATGGAGGAGGGTCAACACAATGCCCAAAAACTTGGGCCATCAGGTCACAATGCCCCCCCAATCCAGAGGGGAGATACAGGATTCCCACGGGAATCTTCACCTTACCTTGTTGAGGGTGTTCAGAGCAGCCTGGGCAGCTGCCAGAGCAGGCTCAGCTTTGGCCAGGTCCTCCTCGCAGTCCTTCTGCTTCTGCTTGACCTCCTGGGTGATGAGTGCCACTTTCTGCTCCTCCTCATCAGCGATCACCTTTTCCCTGCTCACTTTCTCTGTCTCCACCCCCACCACCTGGATCAGCTTGTCAGCATCCTCATTCTTCTGCTTCAGCTCCACTTCTTGGGCTGCCAGCTTGGCCTTCAGCTCATCCACCTAGAGGGAAGAAACATGTGCAGGAGCACGGGCACTCACCAACCCATTCCCCACCCTGCTCAGCAGCACAGGCTCACACTTGAGTGGGGCTGAGCTATACCCAAAAGCATGGAGGGCCTGTGTGTAAAGCAAGCAATGCCCTGGCAGCACAAAAAAGCAGTATTTAAGCTGTTAGAAGGATATGGCTGCTCTCCTTTTCTCAGGGTTGGCTGGGTCACAGTTGGAGAGCCCATGCATGCAGCCCACACACCGGCGCCTCCTGCTAGCAGTGAGGAACCCAGCAGGGAAGAAACCAGCACCAGCAGGATGAGCTGCTGGGGAGATTGTCCCACCCCTGCTCATGGCCTCTGCTTGGAAACCAGACAGAGGTGCCAGGGCAACAGAAACGTTGCTTTGAGCAGGATCCAATGGGAAGTAGGTGGAAGCTTTCGTTTCAGGTATTCTTGGGATTATTTTTGTACAGCCCAGGAGCCTCACCATTTGCAGGAAGCTTCTCTCATTATAAAGCCAAATATATCCAGCTTTGAACATGAGATCTGGTGTTACATCACATCCCTGGTAATGGACACGTGCACATGTGTTTTGCAGTGGAGGTGACATGCTACAGTTCAGCTATACTTCCTTTTGCTTCTCAACCTTGACACCAGTAGAACAGAGCACGTGGTATTTTGCCACAGGCAGGTTTTGAGGAGGACCTGTGCACCAGGAACCAGGGTTTCCTGAGCCACCTGCTCGCCCAGGCACACCTGGCCACTCACCCACACCTCCATCCCGTGCCCACTGTGGCAGTGTGCTACCCCCTCCCTGACCTCCTCCCTGCCCTGACTTCTTCCTGTAACTCTGCTCAACCAATAACCACCTGCGGTGGTCATGATAGGTGTGTCTGGTCGTGAAGGATGCATTCAGTGGATGCAGGGGAGACAGATAACAATACCATAGTCAAGGGCTATTGTGCTATGTACCCACCTAAGCACAGTGAAGAAACTAAAATCTGTGGTTGGGATGCAAATATGACCATGAGCCAACCATCCTGCCCCCATCAATACTGAGCAGCCCCAGAGCCCTTGGAGTGCTCCTGCACAGCAGTGGGCTGCACGCCAGCATCTCCTCTGGAGCAGGGATGCCTCTCAAGGTCACTCCTCGAGGCTGAGAGATTCCTTATCCCAACAGATCCTCAGTAAGTGGCTAACAGCCTGCTAACTCTGAAACCTTGGCTAAGTGACATAAAGGATTGATTGCGCATATCTAATCCTTTAGACATAAACCATTGACCAAGTCTGGGACTAGGATTGGATCCAGCCGCACCTCGAATCCTCTCTGATGAAGTTCAGAAAGCAAGGGGATCTTTTCTGAACCTCGTGACTCAACAGAAGGGTCTCCCTGACAGTTTTGTCTGACCCTGTCCTCTGTGCAGTAAATAACTGAGCATCCCTTGCCATTGAATCCTATAAACTATTATCGCATTTACCATTGAACTTTGTTAACTCACTGTTTTACACCAATGAAATATATTTTTTGCCTCCCTCTCACTCCATAACATGACACCCACATGCAGAAGGCAGAGGCAGCACCCCACCAGTTCCCTCACAATCATTAGGTCCTACGGACTTGTGGTGGGAAGGGCATTTTTCACACCAGAAAGATTATGATTGGGATCTGCTGACAGGTACAACCTTTGTCATAGGTCCAAGGCTCAAGTGTCTTTAAAATGTGATGTCAAATGGGCTTGAGAAGGGTTCTGCTGTTCAGCCGGTAGCCAAGGGGCATGGTAGTGCTCTGCCAAGCAGCTGCTCTCACCCAGCGAGGTGGGAACCCTCTCAAGCAACAGGCTGAAGCATTTGCATGGTGGGGGAGCTTGTACTGGCTCTTGGAAGACAGAAAGTCTCTTTCTAAAAGCACCTGTTTCAATGAATTTACACAGGCTCTGAGCAGCCCATGGAGATTTTTACTGTCCTGCCGTCAGGCTCAGAAAGGACTGCTCAGAGCTCCTGGGGTATGTGTTCACCTATATAAAAATACTTACTAGAAGGGAAGTCAGATACTTGCTTTTGTTGATAATTCCACTTTTATTCCAGAAAAGAGAGCACAATTTGCAATCTTATAAATTGAAGCTATTGATGTTCGGCATCAGCTTCAAGTGGACAGGGGTTTCTTAGGAGCCTCTTTGTGTGCTTCATCCATTGCCACGTCCTGCTGCCTGGCACTACAATGCTGTTTGCACCAGGACAAAGACGCGACCATAAATCCAAATTACTTCGGGCTGGCAGGAGCACATAATCCCTTCAGTCAGCAAACTCTGTGGCAGCTTCTTGTTCAGCTCTCCGTCTTCAGGGATTGCAGAAAATTGAAGTGGGAGGCTTCGCTGATGGCAGATATGGCTTGTGACCCTCTGCCCAAAAATCAGTAATCATGCGCTGGATACATACATGAATGGAAACTCTTGGGGCTTACACGACCACGACAAAACAAGCAAGGGATTAAAATTCAGCAGACTCAACAGTGCTACAAAATGTATACTCAGCCCCCAGCACAGCCCATGAGAACAGAAAATGCCCTGACAAAACCGGCTTTCAGCCAAGCACATGCAATAACAGGAGGGTAAATGACTTGCTATAACATCGCCAGAATTTTAAAAAGGCAAGAAATTCAGTTAGGGCTCTACTTGAAAGAAATGTTTAGAAGCCCAGACCTATAGTACTGTGAAGGTCCCTGCCCAGATGGGCTTGGCTTACAGTTAACTTCCCAGTGGAAATGATGCAGGCTGGAGCTGGGATGTGTATCCTGAGGCTCTGCTGGACCCTCTGCCAATAGACCATAGCACATCTAGGGGACATACAGGGACCTCCAGCCTCCCTTAACTACAGCAGGAAAGGAAACAATCGTGTTTCCCCAGGGAGGCTATTCTGGGTTTGGATGGGGTAGAGATATTTTTCTTTGCAGTAGCTGGTATGGGGCAGTGTTTTGGATCTGTGCTGGAAATAACGCTGATAACCCCG